GGGGTTGTCTATTGTAGAATAAGGGGATTTATAGGAGGGGGAAACAAAGGGGAGTTAGTTAGAGAATTGTTTTGTGAGAAGTTGAAGAGTTCAGGTCTCTCGAAAACCTGAGTGTGGGAATCGTGTCCGGAAAGATTCTTGTCTCAATCTTCCGATAGTTGTTTCAATTCAATAATTCGTGCTTAATAACATTTCTACTTACCAATATGGTATCAAATTGGTATCAGAGCGTCGATCTTGCGTGATCTGTGATGGCGGCCAGGAAATTGGAGGAAAGACTGGGTACCGTGAAAGAACAGTTGAGTTCTGTTTGGGAGGGAATTGCGAAGGAGATGGAAGAAGTTAAGGATGATTTGCAGAAGATTCCTGCATTGGAGAAGAACGTGGCATTGATTTTGGGAAAACTGGACTCGTTGTTGCAGAAACAAGGAGGAGAGGATTTGGAATATAGGGAGGGCTAGGGTTGAGAATGGGAGCGGAGGCGGACCGGTGTATGAGCACCGGGAAGGAGAATTCCGGTTGGGAGGGATGACGAGGCGAATCGAAATGCCGATTTTTGAAGGCACAAATCCAGATGGCTGGATTTTTCGTGCTGAGCGATTTTTTGCCCTAAATCGCCTGGGAGAAAAGGAGAAATTGGAGGCGGCAGCCATTAGTCTCGATGGCGAAGCTCTGGCTTGGTTTCAGTGGACGGACGGGCGCCGGCCCATACGTGATTGGCTAGAATTCAAGAAGTTGTTGCTCGACTGTTTTCGACCGTCGCAGGAGGGGTCGAACTGTGAGAAGTTCCTTGCTCTCCGGCAGGAGGGAACAGTGCGCGCGTATATAAGGGATTTCGAGATGCTGGCCGCGCCTTTGACGGAGATTCCCACGGCGATCCTCGAAGGTAACTTCATCAACGGTCTTAAGCCGGAGACTAGGGCGGAAATTCGCCTGCTTCAGCCGAGCGGGTTGAACCGGATCATCGAACTAGCGCAGAGGGTGGAGGATCGAGATTTGGCTTTGAGAGGAGCTAAAGGAACGACGTCCAGCCCGTGGATGCGACAACAACCTTATAACTAGCCTTTTCGGAGCCAATAAACAAATACCTTCAAATCAGCCATGTCCAACAACAAGTCGTTTGGCCCTTCCCAAAACGACAAGTCGTTTCTGCCAACAGGTATGCCTTCTGTTAGGCGTTTTTCTGAGGCTGAAATCCAAAAAAGACGAGAAAAAGGCCTCTGTTTTAAATGTGATGAGAAATATTACTTTGGACATGTTTGTAAGAATAAGGAATTGCAGATTTTGATTTTAGAAGAGGAAGAGGAAGTTAGTCAAATTGAACAGGAAGAAATTACAGTAGTGAATGAGGAAGAGGTAGTGGAACTTTCTTTGAATTCAGTGGTGGGAATCACCACTCTGAAAACCATGAAAATACGGGGGTTAGTTGGGAGTCAGGAGGTGGTTGTGCTCATCGATTCGGGAGCCACCCACAATTTTATTTCCATGGAATTGGTGAGGAGGTTGGACCTGCCATTAGTTACAACCCAGGAGTATGGGGTGATTATGGGGACAGGAAAGGCTGTGAAGGGGAGTGGGATTTGCAGGGGATTAGTGTTGGGGTTGCAAGGGGTGGAGGTGGTTGAGGATTTTTTACCCCTTGAGCTTGGGAGTTCGGACGTCATATTGGGCATGCAATGGTTGGGATCCCTTGGCAATATGACTGTTAATTGGCAGACATTAACAATGAAATTCAAGGGGGGAGAGTCAACGGTTACGTTGCAGGGGGATTCGAGTCTCAGTAGGACATTGGTTTCTTTAAAGTCCATGCTGAAAACAATCAAGAAAGCAGGAGAGGGGATCTTAGTGGAGTTGGGATGTGTACAGGTTGCAGGGGAGGGGAAGCAAACGGAAATTCCAGAGGAGATTTCGCAAGTATTGCAGCAGTTTGCTGCTGTTTTTGAGAAGCCGCAGGGATTATCACCTACTCGGGCTCGTGATCATGCGATTGTACTTCAAGAGGGAACTACTCCTATTAGGGTGTGACTGTATCGTTATCCACAGGTGCAGAAAGATGAGATTGAGCGCTTGGTTAACGAAATGTTACAAGCGGGCATCATTCAACCTAGTGCCAGCCCGTATTCGAGTCCGGTACTTTTGGTTAAGAAAAAGGACGGGAGTTGGCGTTTTTGTGTGGATTATAGAGCTTTGAATTGCGCTACTGTCCCTGAACGGTTCCCAATTCCAGTAATAGATGAATTATTGGATGAGTTGCATGGGGCGAAGATCTTTTCCAAGTTGGATCTTCTTTCGGGGTATCACCAAATTAGGGTGCGCGCTGAGGATGTACCAAAAACAGCATTTAGAACCCATGAAGGGCACTATGAATTTTTGGTAATGCCGTTTGGATTGACAAACGTGCCGGCCACTTTTCAGGCCTTAATGAATGAGGTGTTTAAGTGTTTCCTACGGAAGTTTGTGTTGGTGTTTTTTGACGACATCTTGATTTATAGTACGACCTTGGGAGAGCACGTGGAGCACTTGTTTCAGGTCTTTGAGTTGCTGTGGCAGCATAGTTTGAGAGTTAATGATAAAAAGTGTTGCTTTGGCCAACCTTCACTGGAGTATCTCGGGCATATTATTTCAGCCGAGGGGGTGGCGGTTGATGAGAGGAAGATTGAAGCAATGCTAATTTGGCCAGCATCCAAAACATTGCGGGAGTTGCGGGGTTTCTTGGGTCTCACTGGATATTATCGTAAGTTCGTCAAGAATTATGGGATGGTGGCTAGTCCTTTGACTGGGCAACTCAAAAAGGATCAGTTTGGGTGGAATCAAGCGGCGGAGGAGTCGTTTGTGGCATTGAAGAAGGCCATGACTACAGTTCCGGTGTTGGCCTTACTGGATTTTTCTCAGCCCTTTGTGGTTGAGACGGATGCTTCCGGCCATGGACTAGGAGCAGTGTTGATGCAAAATGGTCGTCCAATTGCCTTTTACAGCCATGTTTTGTCCCCTCGAGGCAGGGCACGTTCAATTTACGAGCGTGAGTTGATGGCAATCGTCTTGGCCGTGCAGAAATGGCGACCATATTTGCTTGGAAGGCGATTTATCGTTCGCACTGACCAACAGAGCTTGAAATTTTTGTTAGAGCAGCGACTGATTAGTATTGAGCACCAAAAATGGGTTACTAAGGGCCCGTTTAGTTCGCTGATTCGAGTTTTTAATTCGAGTTGAGATGTGATTTTATGTGAGAGCTTTTTACTGTAGCAAAAAAGTTAGATGTGATTGTTTGTGAGAGCTTTTTACTGTAGCAAAACTCGAATTCTAAACTCGAATTAGCGAAATGAACGGGGCCTAAACTATTGGGGTATGACTTTGACATCCAATACCGGCCGGGAATAGAGAACAAGGCTGCTGATGTGCTTTCTCGTGTGGAAGGGATGCCCTCTTTATGCACACTATCGTTTGTACACGGTTTGGATTATGGGGAGATACAGCAACAGGTGTTGTCGGATTCCCGGCTGATGGGAGTTTATCAGGCTTTGTTATAGGGGGACACCAGCTATCCTAGTTTTTCGTTGGAGCAGGGTCGGCTTTTGTACAAGAGTCGGCTAGTCTTGGCCAAGTCTTCCCCGTTAGTGGCTGCCCTATTAAAGGAAGCGCATGATGGCCCAATTGGCGGGCATTCAGGGGTGTTCAAAACTTACCGCCGCTTAGCCTCTTCTTGGTATTGGGTGGGCATGTTCAAGTTAAGGAGTATGTTGGTCGCTGTACGGTTTGTCAACGCAACAAGCATTCCAATTTGTTGCCCGCGGGGCTTTTGCAACCTCTCCCAATTCCGGATCAGATTTGGGAGGATTTGTCCATGTTTATTGAAGGCCTTCCTAAGTCCGAAGGCTATGACACTATATTGGTCGTGGTGGATAGATTGAGTAAGTATGCCCATTTTGTGGCACTTCCACTTACCTACATAGCCGCGGATCCGGGCGTGGTTGTTTCGCAAAATTTCGCTTTCAGTTCGTAGAGTGAATCAAAGATGTGTTCCGCTTGATTCGTTGGAGCAGGGTCGGCTTTTGTACAAGAGTCGGCTAGTCTTGGCCAAGTCTTCCCCGTTAGTGGCTGCCCTATTAAAGGAAGCGCATGATGGCCCAATTGGCGGGCATTCAGGGGTGTTCAAAACTTACCGCCGCTTAGCCTCTTCTTGGTATTGGGTGGGCATGTTCAAGTTAAGGAGTATGTTGGTCGCTGTACGGTTTGTCAACGCAACAAGCATTCCAATTTGTTGCCCGCGGGGCTTTTGCAACCTCTCCCAATTCCGGATCAGATTTGGGAGGATTTGTCCATGTTTATTGAAGGCCTTCCTAAGTCCGAAGGCTATGACACTATATTGGTCGTGGTGGATAGATTGAGTAAGTATGCCCATTTTGTGGCACTTCGTCACCCTTTTACAGCTCCGGCGGTGGCTCATTTGTTCATGCGGGAGGTGGTTCGCTTGCATGGGATTCCTCGTTCCATTGTGTCAGACCGTGACAAGGTTTTTTTAAAACCTCGTCAATGGATGCGTTGGTTGGCTTGGGCGGAGTATTGGTATAATACATCATACCATTCTGCGGCCAATACTACACCCTTTCGTGTGGTGTATGGCCGAGACCCTCCACCCTCGGCCCTCCACCCTTGATCCGGTTTGGTTCCGGCAAGATAACGGTGGCGTCGCTTGAACGTCAGTTGGAGGACAGAGACGTTGCTCTGGATGAATTGAAGTTACACCTGCTACGGGCACAGGACAAGATGAAGGGGGTGGCCGATGGCAAGAGGCGGGATGTCGAGTTTTTGGTGGGTGATTTGGTGTTTCTCAAGTTGCGTCCTTATCAGTAACTGTCATTGTCCCGTCGCAGGAATGAGAAGTTGGCACCCCGTTTCTTTGGCCCTTATTAGGTGGCACAGCGGTTTGGTAAGGTGGCTTACCGTTTGCAGCTTCCTGAGTCAGCTCGCATCCACCCGGTTTTCCATGTGTCCCAACTCAAGCGTTGTTTGGGATCGGCTGAGGCCTCTCAAGAGCTTCCTGCTCAGCTTACTGCGGACATGGAGATGTTGATGGAGCTAGCGTTGGGTGTTCGCCAACCTAGAGAGGGCAGCGGGAATGAGGTGGAGGTGTTGATCCACTGGCAGGGGATGCCCACCTTTGATGCTACATGGGAATCTTTTTTAGCTATCCAACACCATTTTCCATCTTTTCACCTTGAGGACAAGGTGCAGGTTTGGGCGGCAGGTAATGATAGGCCACCGGTGCACTTTACTTACGTAAGGAGAAATAAAAGACAGGGGTAGAATGGGATTCTGCGGGGGGTGGGGAGAATTGTTTTGTGAGAAGTTGGAGAGTTCAGGTCTCTCGAAAACCTAAGTGTGGGAATCGTGTCCGGAAAGATTCTTGTCTCAATCTTCCGATAGTTGTTTCAATTCAATAATTCGTGCTTAATAACATTTCTACTTACCATTCTGTATCAGAATTGTAAATCTGGGTTGTTTCTGTCTCAATATTTGACAATTTGATTTTTTGGTCTAAAAGTGAAACATGTTTTTTGATCTGCAGGAGGACACTTTCTATGTTTGCATCCGTGACAGATATCATTCCTGATCTGTATGATCCATCTAAAGTTTCAGGCCGTATGCTTCTGCGATTAACTTTTATCTTTCTTTTTAAAGAAAAAAAATAAATTCACTTTATACATGACTTATTTTTGTAGTTATGTCAAAAAACGAGCAAGGATTTTTAGCTTCCGATAATACTGTTCTCCTTTACCATGTGACCTGCAGATATTGTTGATCGAGAAGAAAGGGTGGTCAAGAAATTCGAATTTGACCCAACACAGATGAGTGCTTTTGATGTGTGTGATAGCATTTGGACAATGATAGTTCAGGATAAAGTTTGAACTTGCTACCCTTAAAGATCTCGTCTAATGCCTGGCGGTAATTTTCTCACCTTAAGATGGCTTCTTTACTCTATAGAATGTTCTTTATTTAAGAATTGTTTTTGAAACATTTTTTGTATCTGTGTCAACCTTACTTGAATAGTATCTGATCCATAGGCTTTTATCAACTGTCCTTGGGTTCTAAGCACATTTTCTGACGTGTTATTAAAAGATCATCTAAAGCTGATACGTAGGGATGAGATCATTCATTTAAGAGTTAATGCCTAGGGTTAGCCACGCTCAACTTTCAAGCATAATTCATAGCCAAAATTTCATAGTTTTGGCACATGAAATAATATTAACCTTAATCATTTTTGTTCTAGCCAAAAAAAAAAAAAAAAAAGTCATTGATCATTTTATTAATTAGGCAAATGAGAGGAAGACCTTAAGGTTATACAAATTAGATGATTTAATGATGTTTAATGCTTGGAAATGAAATTTCTTTCTCTGCTTCCACAGGACTCTTTCCAATTCCTAATTGGCTATGCAATTTTCTTCTCGGCGCCATTTTCTTATTACGGTTGTATCTCTAATCCTGGTTTGTTAACATGTAATTGTCAATGATAAATTGAGATTTTGATCGACTTCACGTGATTCATATTTTGTTGTTGAAAACCTTATTCACGTCAAACACCTTTATGTTTGTGAGTTATTAGATTACCCGTCTTATGTCATCGATATTTCAAATCATTAGCTTATAATCTATCATACTTAAAGCTCTCCCACATTAATCTATTCTAATAATAAAAGATTCAGTTGCTCAGGCCCGTTGGAATTAACAATAACAGGACAAATGTTATGATGAGCTCTGGTCATTTATTATAAGGAAAATCTAGGATGTGCTTTGGTGCCCCATGCGAGTACTGTAAATTGTTTTTCTTCTTTGTTATCAGTTTGACCATTGCTGAATGCGACTAGATAACAAAATTTATAGCAAGATACATAATAGAAGTCTGAATTTTTCTCAAGAAAAACTAGAATTGAACTTTATTGATCATAAAGCCCCAGGCCGAACTTACAATCTAACAAATCATTAGTGATTTGAAGGATTAAGTTCGTATGTCCCCTTATTTGTGTTCCCTTTCATATTCTCCCAATAAAATCATATAATGTCAATTAAAATATTTTAGCTGTCATGACTATTTAATTGACATGATATGATAGCATGATATTATTGAAGGGACATGAAGGAAGACATGAATAAGAGAACACAAGAGTCGATTAAGGTGCTTCCTTCTCATCCAACTCAACAATGAGTTATTCCCTCTTTAAAATTCTACCGTGACCCCCTCTCCATCACATTACAATCTTTTCTCTCTAGAAGCGGCCAAAAGAAAACTACTCCATCTACAGCGCAAAACGTCTAGCTAGTTAACTCTTATTATTTTTCCTCGTACCTATAACCAATTGGTGGTCGATCATTGAGGTAGAGAGAATTGTTGAATCAATTTTCAAGAGTTGTTAGCTTTACGCCTATTTAGGATTTTTGTGTGTGCTTTTGTTTTTTTTGTTTTTTTTTAACTAAAAGTAAAAGTTAACGGCTTAAAAAATTACATCTTTTAAAATAAATTAAGGAAATACTTTAGTGTGTGCAAATCGCTTTCCTACATTTAAATCACTCTGGTGGCATATGCATCCTTTTATGTACAGAAGCAATATTGAACTGGGAACTCTACAAAAATAGATGAGCAAAAGAAAACATTTTTTTTTCCACTTTTATGAAGATATGTATTGCTAACATAAATGTATTTTTTTTTTTACTTAATTTATTTACATAAGTAAAACAGACACAACCCAGGATCACATATTCACTATGGTGTAAAACGCAACACTATTCACCACCTTCAAGTACAAACGAGGGGGAAAGTTCTTTTCATCATGGAAATAATGTTGATCATGTGGATATTATATATAAACTCTCTCACACTCTTCTCTTTCTCCCAGCAATATTGACTAATTTGCAAACTGGATTTACTTTCCTGTTCCAACTAAAGGAAAACTATTGGCAGGCTATAGGGGCAGAATTCCCTTTATAGGCCTTGCATGCATACGCGGTAAAGTTATTATAATCCTGCATAATTCAGAGACATATGGTGCTTAGAGAGTGACAACGGAAACAGATAAAGGGAAATTAAGGAAATCTTACCTTTCCAATAGGTTGGTTATTCACAACCACCCAAGGTACAAATGTGTGAGGCGGATTAAGTTGAGCAGTTTCAATAGCATACTTTTGTTCAAGCTGCAAATCAGTTGAAATTTCATACTAAATTAACTGGAACCCAATTGGGAACTTTAAAGAATACTTTCTTTTCTGGGGAAAAAAAAAAGGACAAACACAATGTCAAGGATCTTTTTAGGATGACAAAACATAAATTTAAGTAAAACCTTGTATTGCTATGATTTTTTGTCCAATTTTGTTCACTTGACTTTAAAAAATAAAAATATGCACCGACAATATTAAAGACACACTAGACCCTAGCATTGACCCAAAAAAAAAAAAAAAAAAAAAAAAATCCTACATCAGTGTACCTTTGTTCCATTTACGCTATTGATGCAGTTCAACACAGGTTTCTGATTCAAACCCAATGAACTGAAACAAGTTCTCCAATCCTTGTACCTTCCCTCAATGACCAGAAACTCAAAGCAGTAAATCAAAGCAAAATGCTTGTTCTGCATCAGAATTTAGTAGAAAAAATTATGAATCTAATTAACGTGAGAACAATATTAGAATAAACGTCCCGTTCATTTCACCGATTCGAGTTTTGCTACAGTAAAAAACTCTTAGAAACAGTAATATCTAACTTTTTTGCTAAACTCTCAGATAATCACACATTAACTCGAATTAAAAACTCGAATCAGCAATCTATTATTTAGAAGAGTAGAGTCTAACCACATCACGCAAGACATTAACGGTGCAGGCTTGCAGAGTATTCAGCTGGCATTCATCTGAGCCATTCTAAAAAAGAAAAAAGAAAAAAATTAAATTAAATTGCATAACAGTTACTAATTAATAGGAAGCAAACTATCAATACGAAAACCCGAAAACTGGTTTTCAAGAAAGAAAGATGCGCATTTGGATGGTGATATTTTGATAAGAAAATGAGAGGAAACGAAGAAGAAACGCAATGTTTATGCATGAAAAATGCACAACTAAGAAAACCCAGACGGAAAAATCTTACCTGACAAACAATGGCGTTGCTAGATTTGTTGACATAAGCATTACCCCAAGGGATCAACCTGAGATTCAGAATTGTGTTCAGACCATTGTCGAAAATCCGAGCAAGATTTTTAACGATGAAAGTGGCACAAGATGGGTTTAGAGCCTCATAGTATACAGAAAGATTTAATTTCTTAGAAACGACCTTTGAATCCTCATAAACTTTGCCATAATCCAAGTCATAAGCAGCGACACTATGACTCTGACATATGAACAAGAGAAATGGACAAGCAATGACAAATGTGAGCACTAAACTTGGAGAACCCATTCTTGAGAAAAGCTTTTTAATATTCATGTGTCTTATATATATTGGCTTAATGTTGATGTAGATCACCAAACAGTAACGCTCGCTGTTGCACCTTTGTTTTACCACCAATGAGTTTGTGTAGCGTTATGTCTTTCCTTTTTTTTTTTTTTTTTTTTTTTTTTTTTTTACTTCAAAATTTCCAAATAGAATATTAACAGTCCTATAGGTCTTTCTCTATCATGAATAGGTTGTGCAAGACCTATTACAACTCGTCTGGAGCGGGGCTTATTCTTTAAGTTGAATTATTCTGGCCCTTTTAGTTCCATTATGGGCTACATTATTTCTTCTCTCAATGATAGAAATGGCCGAAAGGGGTCGGGATAGCACCAGTGATCCATTTTTCTTTATTCAGCAAAAAACAAAAATCAAAATTCTAAATTGCACCTTTCTTTTGCCTCATGTCATGAAAGTGAATTATGTCCTTTCCTATTTTCCCAATTGACAATTTGTATTCAATATTTCTTGTTTCCTGTAGAAGTAATTGTACAAAAGCTTGTGATGGCTTCCAAAAGAAATGATAGTTGTTTCTCTTTCATGGTTGGCAAGGTGATGTTGATGATACACGGACCAGACTACATCAATGCACTCTGCTAGTTGCTGGCTATGAAAGAGCCAAAATCATTAACTCTCGAATGTTTGACGTGGTCACCCAATTAATTTGCGTCTATCTATTCATATTTCATATGTCCAACATTAGAATTTTCTAAACACATATAAAGAATGTTTTGTCTGCTTATGATGCGTGTTATGGGGAATATGAGCCAAATCAGATATACTAGATTACCATCTTTGAATGATGATATGAGGTTAGATTATTAAAGTCAATGTTTAATATTGTAAATATTGCTAGACTGGTTGAGCTGTGAGAGGAAAAGACTACCCTTGGATCATATTTATGAAGTGGACCATCGTGGATGTCGTTTTAGAAGCATTGTGGCCAGTCTTTTAGGAGCTATTTGTCAATACTTGCTAATTTGCTCATATACATATACATATAATATATATATATATTTGACAATTATCTCATTGCCTTATTTTTTATTTTGGGCTTTTTTTTAATGTGTTTATATATATCCATTGCTTAGTTCAATTTTCCATCTGCCGGTTCTTTACCCCTTTTTTTTCACATGAGCACTGGCGTGAACAGCAGAAACTCTAGAAGGACTTGAACTATTTTATGCTTTTTATTATTTTTTTATTTTTTAAAAAATGGGATCAATGCCACAACTACCAACCGCTAACAGCTTATGATTTGCCTTATGAGTTATAATGGTGGGATCGAAGCATTCTTTGAATTGTGATGAAAAGACAAACTCGGTCAGCATTCACAGGAATATCGTCGAGACTTGCGACTAATAGGACATGTTCTCAGTTGCACAACTTCTTTCTCTATTTTACTTTTTTTTTTTTTTTTTTTTTTTTTTTTTTTTTTTTTTTTTTTGTTTAGATCCGAGACTTGTTTGTTTGGTATTTTGATCCCTAAATTAAAAAATTTACCAATCTCATCTCAGTCATGAATCTATTTATGTTTGCGGCGTTACTCCAAGTACCAATAAATGTTAAATCTCTCCTATTTTTATTGCCACAAAATCCCTTTTAAGTTTTTACTAGATTGACACGAATGTTAATATTAGGATAAATGCCCTGAAGTTTTGTTAGGTTGGCATAAACGTCCAAAGACTTCCAACAGATCACCATAAATTGCACGGTCCCCGATTTCTTAATTGTGGCATGTTAAACATGCTAAAAATTGTTGGCCCAATCAAAAATTAAACTAATCCATCTGAAATCCATGAAACGATAGGGTTAATGTTGTCTGTATGTGTTTATGTGAATACGTTTTTTTTTTTGTCATTTCTTGGCGTTGAACATAAGGTAACTCAACAATGTTATTTATGAGCACCACAGCATATTTGCATCCACCGACAGCTTTTACAAACAAGAAATGCTTGAGATAAAAGCAATTGTTTGTAAAACTTTTAAAATAGCTTGGGTTTGTCCTTTTCTTGCACTCGTCTGAGTTTGAAAGAATTATTTGTGACTAGTGCTTTGAACAAATTAAAAAGTGGAACCAACTATAACCTGATTCATTCTGATCAACGAACAAACTTAGACAACCGTAATGATGTTACCCAAAAAATAGTGCTAAATGTTATCTTATATGAAATCGAACCCCGCGTCTCTTTATTTATATTCATTTTTACATCTTTCTAATATATCATGTCATATTAATTAAAATATCATATCACGTCAATTAAAAAGTCATGACAACTTTAACTGATACTACAAGATTTTAGTAAGAAGACACGATAAGATTTTAGTAAGAAGACACGAAGAAGGACACGGATAAGATTTTAGTAAGAAGACACGAAGAAGGACACGGATAAGGGACAAATGAGCTCCAGCTTATCCGATTAGGTCCAGCTAAAAAGCAAACAAGCTAAACGAGCAATGTCAACCCTCCAAGGAACCGGTTATGGAAAGAGAAGCTAAATAAGATGCACGACGCCACTTAGTATTTAGCCTTAAAGGGTTGATTTTTTTTTTTTCCCCTTGCTTTACTTACTGTGTTTTGTCTTAAAAAAATGAACAAATTATGTTTGAATTTATAAACCAAACGGCCAATGATAATTTGTAATTGATTTATCAATGCAGGGATTCAACTTCAAAACCTGAATCTACGGCTGAAATGGCCCCTTAATTAGTTTGATAAACACTTGTATACAAAATGCTGTCTCAAGACCAATGAAAGCAAAAGAAGACTTACATAATGCAATTAAAACAAGCCAACCAACAGAACCTATCTTTAAGTCCAAATATGGATTCCATATGTACTCTACTATCCTCCTCCACAATAACAAACATGACCTGGAGTTGCCATTTGTATGATCAGATGTGAGATTTGGGTAAAACACTAAAAGCAGTATAATGAAGACCCAGCATATTCAAGAACCAAAAGTCATCTCTGGTTTCCCAAGAAGAAACACATTTATATAAAGTGAAGATGTACGCTTTTCTTTGCCACCAACGGAAAAATTTGACTATTTCCCTATAACTCGACGATAAAGTTCTTCCTCCCCGGCTTTCTTCTTAGCCAACATCCTCTCCTTCCGTCTTGCATCCCTCACAGCAGCATCAGCATAGACTTTCTCCATTATTGTGGTGAAACCAGGAATTGCCTGACTCATTTTCCGGTAAACTGCACTGCTAAGCTTTTCATAAATCCTCAGTATTCTCTGTAGAAAAATAAAACATGAGACAACTTGTTAGAGATTTGCTTGTCCTTGGAGGATATGATAAATAGACTGAAGCCAAGAGAAATTTCACAAGAAAATTCAGCCAGTTTTCCTTCTTGGGATGGTGTCCATTGCATTTAGAAGAACATGCAGACACATAAAATGATTATTCGTATCAGCTAGGAACAGGAAACTACGAGAATAGAGCCTTAAATCTTTCAGATCAGCAAAGAATATGTGACCAGTTTAGCATACTTTAAACAGTGTTTTTCTTCCAATAATTGATGGAACCATGATTTGTGATTTTGCCATGTTCAAACCGTGAGGAAATATCAAGCTCAAGTGCAGAAGAAAACTTGGTTTTGAAAGTCAGGAGCAAGTCTATACCATGACATCCTTATTCCATTTTCGAATGTATGGAGGGCCCGTCGTGTATGTACCGAGAGGCTCGCGGTACCATTCCCCACCATATGTTATCTGATCCATTGCTTGTTCAACGCTTAGAACTTCCCATGGCCTTAGACCAGGGATAATTTCAGCCAATTGACGCCTGCCCCAATAAGCAAACATTGCGTTAGTTAATCAGTTCTTGATATGCAATAGCAACAAAGCTATTTCAACAAACATATTGAATAGATTTAAGTGTGATGAATTGTCATATACTCAACCCCGTTCAGAAAGAAGGAAGCCAAGCGGGAGAAAAACACGGCTCTTCATTTTCATTACTCTTGTAACAAAAAAAAGAAGAAAAGGAAAAACTGAAAAAAGGGTGGTAATCTATAAAATTTAAATATGTTGGTGAGTGCTTCATTCCAGTAGTTGACTACTATGAAACAATTTAAGATCCCAATACAAAAAGCATATACCTTTGAAAGAAATTAACCTTCATCAACACCCCTAATTAAGTTTCTAAAACAAATAAAATAGCTATTATACACTTTGCTCCCCAGGGGCAGCTTCTTCTCTCGATTGACACAACATAGCTCCTCTACCAGTGAAACGTTAATGACAAAAAGGAAATGCAGTTTTACTTTTGGATTATAAAAGATTATACGACAAGAAATACCTAAGATCATTTGGAATATATTTGTTTGGCATGTGATCCTGTTGAAGAATTGATGTCAGTTCTGAGCCACTAGCCCAAAGAAATAGACAATGACTTGGAATTCTAACACCAGGCCAAACACCACCATTAGCTTCCAGTACAGCTAAATCGCGTCTCTTGCTTTCATAAGCTTCTCGTTGGGCCTGCTCATATGTTTTTGGCTCATGCCCCTTCAGAGGAACCCAAGGAGGAATGCCTTTTTGCAGTTTGTGAAGAAAAGCAGTAGCAGCAGCTCCAAGTCTAACTATAACCACAAATTAGTCTGGTTATAGCACAAATTGATTCCTTTTGACACAAACTATTAAATAATAACAACAACAATGGAAAGCGATGAAGAAAACAAGATATGATATTCTTTAAAGTGGCACAGCTTCTTAGCTCGTCTAAAACAATCATAATAACCTACCTACGCCAGGTCATATGTAGCTATGACATGTTCTTTCGTCTCAGAAGATGTTATAACCCTTGGGTAGAACTCATCCCCAAAAGCTAGCTTGTAGAGAAAGGGTGCCCAAATGGTTATAAACCCACATGCTAAGCCCATACTTTAGCAATGTGGGACTCATCCAAGACCTAACATACCACCATGCTTCCGACACCGACGTCCACGGCGGCCCACTCTGGATGGCCCACTCTGGCCTTTCTAGGTCGCCCCTTCCGCAACGTGGGCCTGAGGAGGAGCATGCTCTGATACCAATTGTTATAACCCTTTGGTAGAACTCATCCCCAAAAGCTAGCTTGTAGGGAGAGGGTGCCCAAATAGTTATAAACCCACATGCTAAGCCCATACTTTAGCAATGTGGGACTCAACCAGGATCCTAACACAAGATTGAGACCAACCTAAAAAATCTAAACTTGAATTTGTTAAGTATCATTACTTATGAAATAGATAACTTCATAATACTGTCAAAAGAGATATAAAGTTCAGCAAAATTTGATGTACTTGCCAGAGACATCCTAACTTTCTTCTATCAACATTTGCAAAATCATTTAAGCTGAATCCTTTAACAAATCTTGTACCAAAGAATAAGGTATTGCGATTTCAAAATTTGAAATCAGAAGGCCATTTGTATCAAGAAAAAGGGAACATTCTTTATCTTTCGGTCAACATATGTACCCCAACATACAATCATATATATCAACAAACTCGCTCAAGCAACAAAAATACAAGTATGAAGGAAGATTAACAAACCTTCCCACGTGGCAATCGCACGTTCCATGCCATAAACCATGTGAATTGGCGCCCATTCATCCATGTCTTCACCCCAAATGAACGTGTCTTTATCAATGATGCCAGCCCCCCATGCAGTTTTGAGGGTTATCAACTCACATGGTCCTCGAGTACGACCCAACCGATCCTTATAGTAAAATCCACCACTCCTCATGATAACTGCCATCAGTAAACAATAACAGCCTCATTTAAATACATAAACAGCATTCCAAACAGAATTTCTTTCCATTATGTTCACTGACGGCAGGGATACTCTGCTACAAGTACACATTTTACAGCTAGTGCCAAAGCTAGAAAAAACGGAACACAATACCGAGTCTGAGAAGAGTTTTTCCAACTAGTTTCCAATAAGATAAGCAGTAAAGATTATTGTTAGAAACAAACGTAGAGAAATCATTGGGCCACTCGAATCATTGTTTACACCCGAATACATGGAAGTACATTCACAAAATTCCTTTATTGTGATAAAAATGTATTCAAGCAGTTCAAAATGTTAAAAAGTTTCAGACAACAAAAAAAAATCGTACTAAAACAATTCTCAAATATTAAAACAATGGTAAGAAGGCACTTGACAGATTGTTTACAACTGAACTATATAGAAAAATAAAAATAAAACAAAGCACTAAAAGTGAAACAAATGCACAGAATACGGGTGCATTCACAAATATACATTATCAAAATGCATTGCACTAACTCAATAATAATCAAACTAGAAAACAATGGTAAAAAGAAAATTGACTTGTTTACAACTGAATTATATGAAGGAAAAAAAAAAGTACTCAAAGTGAAACAAATACACAGAGTACAAGCGCATTCACAATTACACATAAACAAGTCTTAATAACAATAACACAATTCCATAGCAACAAGCATTAAAACCAACCAATTCTGAAACCAGAACAAACTTACAATCATAATAGCGCTTCTCGAGGCGCTTGTAGCCGATGGCCTGAGCGACGTCGATGGGGCGGCCCGACGGGTAGGGCCTCTGGCGGAACCCCCAGAGCCCAAAGAAGAACTGCCTCGCAAAATCCCAAAACTTGTCATCGGACTCTTGCTTCGTCTTTATCGCCTTCCTCGGCATGGGCCGGCCGTCGAGCCCAATCACGTGCGGCACCGACCGCCATAGCTTCCGGTCCTCTCTCCTGTACGGATTCTCGTTCTCCTTGAGCTCCATTTCATTCACAATATCCGCAATCTCCTCTGCCCGTCTCAAGAACTTCACAACCGGATTGGCCCAAAAGTCCTCCCAGAACTTGGCGTTCTCTCTGATCTCCTCCTCCGTCGGGTTTTCCTTCTTCTCGAAAATGGGGTCTTCGTTGAGGATCTTTTCGACCTCCGGGGCGTAGCGGTAATCGGGCAAGTTCTCGCATTCCCAGAAGTACTGGTCCAGCATTTGACTGTACGGACCTTTGGGTTCTTCGGTCGAGGAGGAGGGGTTAGTTTCGAGTTGTTGTTTGTCTCTGTCGAAGAGGTTTGAAGCGGAGAGAGAAGCGAACTTTGAGGGGGATTCGGTTCGGAAGAAGGAGAAGTCATTGAGCTTGAGGAGGTTCAGTGGAGGAATTGGCTTCGGTGGTTTTGAGAACCAGCTTTCGAATGGGTTGAAATTGATCGATGCCATTGGAAACAAAGGAGAAAGGGTTTAGAGTTCAGAGACTGTAAAATGGGATAAGGTGAGACTCTGTTCTATGAGAGACGTTTAAAGTCGAGAGAGAGAGAGAGAGAGAGAGAGATAATTTGAGTTTTTAATTCGTAAAAATTTTTTATTTAAGAATTTTTTATTATAATAAAAAAATTAAATATTATTATTTTTTAAAATTTTTTATTATAATAAACTTTTAATTATAAACTTAAATTAATAAAATAAACGGCGTGTGCACGACCCGATTCTATTCCAAACACTCAGGCTCATTTACCAAACAAGAAAGGAATGTAACGGAGAAAGAGAAACTTGGTGAGCTCTCTTTTAAAAAAAAAAAATTAGCGAACTTATTCTTTAAATATATTGGTATAAGATTTTTATCTTAACTCCTGATTAAATATTCTTTTAACTATTAGATGGTGTAATAAAAATAATTTTATTCACTTTTTTATGTTTATTAATATTAAAAATAGTAATGTTATAAATATAATTATTAAAATATTTTTTTACATAATTAATAATCATTGATTATATAGTAATTCATTAATAGTGGATAAATAAATTTAATATTCAATTACTTTAACACGAAATTAATATTAAAGAGTGCAAAGATTGACATTTCCTTTCATCATTTCTTATTTTTTGTGGACTCGTTAAATTTTTATTACAAATTTTATAAATAAATATATTATTAAATAAAAAAGAGAATCACTTTTTATTTTTTATTTTTCCTTTGATGTAAAGTAAACAAGCCTAAGGATTGTTAAGACATTATAAATGAAAAAATTGCAGTAAATAAACCAACTTTTACGACCTTTAAATGTAAATAGTAAGGTAAATTGTATGAATAGTCTCTAAACTCTTTAAAAAGTGACAGTTTAATTTTTAAATTTTTTTTTTAAACGAATTTCAAATTATTTAGAATGGTACAATATAATTATTTCGGTCCGATATTGTCAAAAAAGTAACGCCATAGTGCATGTGAGATATCGCATGAGCTATGTTTTTTGGAATATATGTGTAAAATCGGGAGATTTGGGCACATTTTTGACCCATTTAATTCACTGATTCGAGTTTTTAATTCGAGTTGAGATGTGATTTTATGTGAGAGCTTTTTACTGTAGTAAAAAAGTTAAATGTGATTGTTTGTAAGAACTTTTTACTGTAGCAAAACTCAAATTCTAAACTCGAATCAACAAAATGAACGGACCATTTATCTCTCTCTCTCTCCACTCTTTAGCAACCATGTCCGAAATCTTTTTCCGCAGCTACGAGCTCCGCCTCCTCCGCTGCACCCTCCCTCCCTCTCCTTCTCCCCCTCTGCCTTTGACGACGCTCACAACCAACACCCTCTCCACTCGCTTATCACCGACCTCCTTGCCTCCATCGAAGCCAATCACTACCTCGAAGTCCTCGCTTCCTGTCTTGTCTTCGGACTCAACTCCACACAGTCGCCGCTTGACGAATCCTCGTCGGCCAAATAGAGTTTGTTTTCGCTTTCTCTTCTTTTCAAATTATTTAAACTAGATTCGGTGATTCCCATGTAGTTTATATTAAAAAGAAGAAGAAGAAGAAGGCCCTTTTGGCGTATTGTGTGATATTCTAGAATTTGATATAAAGCTTCTGTTTTGGGTCAAAGGCAACTAGAAATTTGAGTGGTTTTTATGAGATTGCTGGAAAACCCAACAATAATTCTTGCTTTTTTAGCCGTTTTGTTCATTTTTGTTATCGTTCAGGTTTTGGATTACTTATTTTAAGAAGTGAGTTTTTCCTGGATAAGAGAGTTTAGGTTTTAGGTGAAGTTCTGAGTTTGATCAGCTTCTAATTTGGGTCAAAGGCAGTGGGATTTCAATAAAAGGGATTGATTTTGGACTTCGGTGGAAGAAGGAAAACAAACCCAAAAAGAAGTTAGGATTTTTTATAACTAAAGAAGAAGATATAAACTAATCTCTCCGTTCAAGTGTAATTAAGGGCATTTTCATCGTTTATGTCAAAACATAACCCACGTGATATCACGTGCACTGTTCTATTATTTTTTAGACGACATCTGATGAAAAAGACTACATTATACCTTTTTAAATAGTTTAAGATTCATAAAAAAAAATTTAAGACTAAAATATCACATTTTAAAGAGTTTGAGAACCTTCGTACAATTTATCCTAAATTGTATATAGTAGGTAGTAAATAAACGGTAGATTTATCAATCACTATATAGTGTTTGGTAAGGGGATTCGTACATTAATTCGAATCATGATTTATGGTTCGTTACAGTATTTTCTCTCATAAAAAATACACGTAAATCAAAAATAGTTCTAATCTCATGATTTTAATCTATGAACCAAACGTTTAGTAAAAAATAATATACTGTTTTTAATTTTCTTTTATAGAAGACGGTTTAAAATTAAAGGGATGTTTGGTTGGAGGATTCAAACCATGATTTGAATCATAATTCATGATTCGCTACAGTATTTTCTCTTATAAAAAATACACATAAATTAAAAATAATTTTAATCACATAATTTTAATTCATGAACCAAACGTCTCGTTATTTTTTTTTTCCCCTTACTTTTACCTTTTTATAGGGTTTCTATTTTTTTCCTCAAATTTTCTCTCCGCCACGCTAGTTTTGTGTCTATCTTTCGACTCTCTTTGAACCTCCCCTTCTCTAGCTCTCTGTACTCCCTATTTCTCTCTCCATCAATTTTCTCCTTCAATCTCTCATCGAGACGATTGCCTGTCGTGCCCCCTCTACAAATGTCATTCACATAGATCGCGAACTTCGTCGCGATTTGCGTCGACAGAGATTACGATTCCGTTGTCTTCCCGAGTTCCATCAGTGTCTCAAATTGTTGGCTAGTCATTTTTTTTTTATTCTTTTGAAATTTTAATGAAAAGCAATATTAAAGTTATAATAAATACGGAAAACAACCCTAATCGAGGGCACTGTTTCAAAAAGCAGCCTTAAGCAATTGCTTAAATGACCTAGAGGTTGAGCCTATATTATTTTGGGGCAAACAAGATTAGCTGCCGCGATTTTCTCCACTTCTTGTTAATACTTTTCTTCTATATTCTTGGATTTTATATTAATTTTAGTGTGATTTTAGTAGTAGGGTATCAAAATATGCGACTATAGTTAGGATTTTATTTTAAACCCTGTATTTATATTAGGTTAAATTATTTTTGTACACTTTTTGTTTTGACGTGATTTTAAATAAATTTAACATGTATTACTAGAAAACTCCTAATTTTCAAGACCAAAAAAGGTAGTAAGTAGAAAACAAGAAAATGGAGTAAATATTAAGCATACAATACTCCTTCACGCATTCTTTTTTTTTTTTTTGGCAGTAGTATTTCAATCCATAAAACTTCCAAGTATTCTAATGTTGAAACTTTACGTACCCTACATTCAATAATAAAATAGCTGGTTTATTCCTCCTAAATACATACTACGTACGTACATACGTATTAATTGGCAGACGGTTTTTGCCAAGGGATGGTTATATCACATCTCTTGTTATAATCCCCTCTTGGCTTTGTAGGCATCAAATGTTACAGCAACATTGACCCAAGCAATATGGCAAGACATGGACTCGTAAACCGTCGTCCTTGGACTCGCAATGGATTGTGAGGCTCTGCTTATCCGGTAACATGTTTAAAATCTCGACTTGCGTTTCGGGTTTGATAACTGGACTGATCACTATTTTCTCTTGGGCGTTCTGGGTTTTTTCATCTACGCTAGTGGTGCTAGTGCAAAGTAGAAACAACAATGCAGAAAACAAGGTTTGGCGACCGCCTTCCAAATTGACTCATCTTATTGGAAAGGGTATACACTACAAGGATTGATATTGTTTCACAATGCAATGATGTCTATATATATATATATATATATGCTGAGTATGTATATATTTATATTCGGGTAAATAAATGTAGGAATTCTACCCAAAAAAAAAAAAATTTTTTTTTTGCAAGAATAAAATAGTAAAACATGGGGTTTCATCAATTCTTGAATTGTCGGTTATAAAACTCTATGCGGATTTACCATAAACATTTGGACAAGTAAATGTCATATAAATATAAATAAAGGAATAAACTCAATATGTTTCCCTTTTTTTTTTTTGGCTGGGGATAAGAGTGAGTTAAATACAGTCGGTTAAAAAATAGGGAATAAAGAGATAGTAAATGAAGATCCATCAGTAATTTTAATTTGGAAGGTTATAATACGATAATATGAGAATTTTATAATAAGGTGGTCTATTGACATTCTTCATTCTACTTTTTACGCATACATATTTAAACCATTTCAATTCTACTTATTATAACCCACTTAAAATTTTAAAAAAGTCCTTATAACTAAATTGCATTGTTTTTTCTTTTTTCACCCGCCCACCAACCTAACGTAACTTTTATTTCTTTCCTTTCGATCTTTCGATTTTTTTTTTCCAATTCTTTCAATGAATCAATTTGAACATTTACTGATATGAAATCATGTGTCGTTGTTTTTTCGTTGCAAGGGATTCATAAGAAGATCATTGGTTTCCAAAAGCAAAACAGAGAATCAGAATAAAAACGTATTTATACAATCAGATGAAATGAATAAAAACGGGCATCGTTCATTTCACCGATTCGAGTTTTCAGTTTTAGATTTCTACAGTAAAAAGCTATCAGAAAATGCCACATTAATTTTTTCTACTACAGTGAAAAGTTCTCAGAAAATATTACATCTCAGTTCGAATTAAAAACTCGAATCCGCGAAGTGAACGAGGCCAAATTAAATTGAAAACATTCTCTCTTCAATTTTTTTTTTTTTTGAATCGGATAATCTTTCTCTTAAAAAAGTTTTTGCGAATCAGAAATATTTGATAGTTTGATATTTTGAATAAAAAAAAGTTTTATATTTTGATATTTTGATATTTTTCTCTTAAAAAAAGTTTTTACGAATCAAAAAGTTTTTAAAAATGTATTTTGGATTATTTGATATTTGATATTTTCAAATTTCTAATTTATAATCAATTCATACATATCTCTCGGCCAACGGCAGATTTTTACACATGGAATCCAAAAATAATCAAGAGAATTACTGATTTTGGAGGCTTTCTTTTTTTATTATTATTTATTAAGAAGATTTTGAAGATAGATAAAAAAACCAAAACAATATTTCATAGCACATAATTTGCTAGATTTTGGGTATGTTTTGTTACAAGCATAACTTTGGGTTAGCAAGGGATAATTACTTGCTTCCAAGGCACTAATTTCCCCAAGAAAGTAAGGTGGAACACCGGAAAAGGCAAGACTAATAAAAACGAATAAAAACTGGATAACACAACCATAAAGAAAAATGTGGACCCTCCAAAGACCTGGATACCCCAATAACCATCACTCAATCTGCCTTTCAAAACAGACCCCATTATCAAGCATTTTGGTAAATTCCATTACCAATTCCCAAACCAAAATAAAAGGCCACTATTTTCAGCTCAGATGCATTTGAAACTTCAGAAGCTTCTTTTCTCTGTTCTCTGCTCCAGAAAATCAATGGCGGGTCGTCCATTGTTTCCCTTTTTTGCTCTGAGTTATTTTACATTATTCTTGTCTGTAAATCCGTACAATTCTCTGGGTTCTCAGAAGGTTGAAGTTTTTTTGTATTATGAGACTTTGTGTCCGTACTGTGCGAATTTCATAGTGAATCATCTGGTGAAGATCTTCCAGAACGGACTCATCTCGGCCGTCAATCTCAGAATGGTCCCTTGGGGTAACGCTTGGATCAACTCCAACGGTTCTGTCGTTTGCCAGGTCGCTTCTCTCTCTCTCTCTAAAATCTCTCAAATCAATATCATTTGTTTTTGCTCTTCTTTTCAAGTTTTTACCCGGTCATTGAAGTTGGAAAAATGGTATTGGCCACGAAAAAGATATCTGAATTGTTTCTTACCAGTTAGGATTCGCTTTGGAACTTTCTCTTCTGTCTTCGGGTTTACAACGTAGCTTCTCCAATCCAGTGTGGGCCCACCAGCCTGATCATACCCCATCATAATTACTAAAATACCTATTTACTAGTCTCTTGTATCTTCTTTCATCTTTTGTCACGCACATCCCCTAATCACAAATACATGTCTTCTTTCTTCCACGGTGTATCATATTCTAATTACGTTAGAAGTTTTTGAAAAGGAAATGATAAACATAAAACATTGGGTAGTTTTTTTTTTTTTTTTTTTTTTTTTTTTTTTTTTTTTTTTTTTAATGAAAAATAGCCAGTTTAATGTACATAGAATAGTGAGTCGTTAATTCAGAACTAAACATTGTGAAACCGTTTACCTATGTAGTAGTACTAAACATGAAAGGAGGGCCGATGGTGACCTTTCTTAGTTAATACCAGAACTTATAAAGAAGTTATGGTGCGTGATCTTGCACAAGTTTTAGGGGTTAGTCTAATTGTAAGTTCTGGCAAAATAACTTCAAGTTTCATATTATTTAACCATGAGCATATTGGATCACTCTATTTAACAAGTTGATTTTTCAAGACGAAAGCCACTCAAATGTTTTAAAAAGTCGAACTATTAGTAATTAAATTCTTCATCATAAACTTGTAATATAAGTAAATATTTTTAAAAAGGTGCCCTATTATATTGAAAACGTCTCTTTCTTGTCTCTAATAATCTCTTTCGGTGTTGCACAATAATATCTCTCTCCCATCCCTACTAGCTGGCCTATTTATTCTAGGCCTCTAATGCTTTAGGCTGACAGATTACACAATCGGTTTCCACGTGCGAGACTACCTTTGTCAATCGTTACGCTTCTTCAATTTTAATTTTTTGGTCTTTATTCTGTATATATTTATTCATTGTCTGGCGTGAAAAGATTAAAACTGAAGTTTGGACATTGTTTTCTGCAGCATGGAGCAGATGAATGCTTGTTGAACACAATGGAGGCCTGCACTATCAGCATCTACCCTGATGTGGTAATTACTGATTACTATATATAAAAAACCCTCATATTCTAAAATATAATTTTATGCGAAAACAATGACCCATGATATATATATGTGTGTGCGCGCCCGCGCGTGTTATGTCAGCTCAAATATATAGCTGGCTTGTAGACTTGGTCTTGAAAATCAATTTATGCTTCCCTATTGTAGGCATGTGACATGTGAGCTCTATACCATAACCATTTTACTATATGAGAAAATGTATGACAGTTTTTGCAGCTGTCCAACCAAATTGATCAAATCTGGACCCACGTGGTCCTACTTGATCCTATGGCTGAAGGTCATTTAGGATTCGTTCTCTGATTCGAATCATGGTTCGTGGTTCGCTACAGTATTTTTTCTCACAAAAAACACACGTAAATCAAAAATGGTTCTAATCTCATGGTTCTAATCCATGAACCAAACGGGTTAGTAACAACTGGCACTACCAAAATTGCTCACTTAAACTTGTGTTTATAGCAATATTAAAAAGCCCATCTATTCACACTTAGGCTAACTCAAATGGTTGGATGTGTAAGTGTGTGCGTGTGCCTGCCAGGATTTGAATTTTAATGGTTTCATTTTTTTTTTTTTTTTGAGTAAAGTGGGAGCCATAAGTCCCATCTGTCGGATATAGTCTTTTTTTAATTGATTAATGTTTTTCAAAGTTTGTAGTGGGAGATTTGAACTTTACACTTTAAGATAGAATCAATTGTGGAATTATCGTTAAGTTATATATGCAGCCGCTGATTGATTGCTCTTGATAATAACTAAATTGTTGTGCAGTACGCACATTTTAGATTTATCCACTGTGTGGAGCGGCTCACTTTGGAGAACAAACACACAGAATGGGCCAAATGCTTTGAAAAGACAAAGTTGGGCACACAGCCAATTGATTGCTACAACAGTGGTTATGGAAAAGTGGTTAGTTTTGTTCATCTTTTTTTTTTTTTTTTTTTCCTTGGTGGTTTTTGATGTTTTCAACAGAATAAATCAATAAATCATCCTTTTTTACTAGCTTGATTTTGAATTTTAATTGGCATTTGATTCATAGATTGAAGACAGATATGCACAGGACACCGCCAAGCTTAATCCCCCACATAGGTTTGTTCCGTGGGTGGTTGTGAATAATCAACCACTCCAAGAGGTCAGTTTCTTGTTAATATTGTTTGGTTTTTATCTCTATGCTTTTGAAAACTATCACTTTTGTTTCCCTCTCTCAATAATTGTTATCTAAATGCAGGATTACCAAAATTTTATGGCTTACATATGCAATGCTTACAGAGGCTCTCCAAAACCTGAGGCTTGTAGATCAATTTCATTTGAGATCGAATCAACGGATAAATCGAATTCAGTGCCTGAAGTATGCCGTGCAGGGGAAGCAAGAAGCTTTACATCATCAGAACTAGCCAAGAAGATTCCAAGATGATCAAAGATTAATGTTAGCTTAGAATTTTCCGGGAAAAACAGAATATTTAGCTGCCAAGCAGTAATAATGATATTGCTGGTCCACTTATGCCAATATTCTGAAAATCATTATTTGGCTTATTAAAATTGCCATGCCTTTAGTTCAGAATCTTGAGCTGGTTTTTCTTTTATTGGGATTGGTCCTATTGGATAATGGAATATTTATTAGCGCTTGAAACCTCGTTTGCCATATAGGAGAACAGAATTTCCCTCGTTTGTCATACACGAGAGCAGAATTTGCTTATGTTCAGACGATTTATAGCAATGTTTCACATTTTTTGGAGATGATTTCTCAAGGCTAACTGTCCTTTATCATTAGGTTAGCTTTCAGAGTTTCAAACTGATATCTTTTACCCCACTTCTGAATCCCTCCGATGACATCTAGACCATCCAATTTGAATTAGGCTCGCCATGCGAATCTGCATTTGGAACTAAAAGTCTTAACTCTGTGAAAATTCTGATTTAAATCCCAAATCTAGACTCGTCTGCCCCTCCTTAATTTGGTGATTTGAACTCATCCGCTACAGTAAAAAATTCAGAGTTTTCAGTTTAAACTAAAAAAGTTCAAATTACATAAAGTTTGATATGCGAAACACACGAAGCTAAAAAGAATGTCCGACTACATTTAGGTTTCTTCCTTCTTGCATGTATAGCGATTGACACATTGCAGAGAAACAACGAAGAGATCAGGAGAACATAAAGGATCAAAGAATTTGAGTGCTCTATGGCTAAACTTGATGGTTCCAAATTCTAAGACATTATTTATTTCTGAATCTCGTTTTTGTTTCCATGTTATTGCTATTGAGAATTAGACACCCTAATTCTCTACTGCCGATAACAATAAAATTGCAGAAAAAAAAAAAAAGCCAAACAAACAAGAACACCCTTCAGGTCGATCCATGTATTGTCTATGCATTATAAGGACAATTATTAGACTTCGTATCAATGTAAGAATTTTGTGGCCCATGTAATGAATTAATAGCCCATTAATATTATCAGCCTTATTATTTATTTAAATGGTTTAATAATTATTTTAATACTAAAATCTTATTAGGTATGAGGGATTACAGTTCAGATGTGTCTGTATCTTATGAAGGAATGTGTGCTTTGATGGAAGACACTGATTCATAGTCTATAAAAAGTCTAGTCCTCTCTCTACCCAATTAATTGTATATTCATTCCATTAGAAAAAATAAGTTAAAATTACAGAGGATTTAGAAAGATAAACTTAGAGCCCGTTTGGTTCATGGATTATAACCATAAGATTAGAATCATTTTCGATTTATGTGTGTTTTTTATGAGAGAAAATACTGTAGCGAACCATGTGTGACGACCCTCCTATAAGGCCGCCACTATAACTTAAACTTTTAACTTGTACTTACTGGAATTTCTTAAAATTTGCGGAATATTTTTTTTTTTATATAAGAAGGAATAATTTCATAACTCGTAACAATAATTTCAAAAGAATGAATCACTAAATTTCTTAAAGCTCTTCTTAATTTCAATTAAGATAAAACATTCTAGAAATATCTTTCAAACGAAGCATCGTTTGAACTCTTGTTTCAAATACTCTTCAGAAACCTTTCTAAAACTAGCCCATTCAATTTGGCTTTAAAACAGATTTCGAGAGAAATCTTAAATTCAAGTACATTTTTAAAGTTCTTTTAAAATCAATCATTTGAATCGTCATGTTTAAAATTCGTTTATTTGTTGCATGCACTATTGCAACGTTCTAAAACTTAAATACTCAAAACTATGGTCGTTAGCTACAACCTCGGTTTCCCTAACATACATATGTACATATACTTTTTAAATATACATGCTTGAAACCTTTGAATCATATAAACATATACATGGTTTTACTTAAACTTACTGCGGAAGATTTGAATGTTAGCGGTATCCATTCCCATCTCCACCATTCGTCCGCCGCTCGCCATTGCCCTTCAAGAATTGCTTATGGGTTTCTTACCTACAGCATGAACATATCTGATTGAGCTTTCACTCAGCAAGTAGGAACTATATCTTACAAAGTAACTGTGAGTACACATGAATAAATATGCATGAGCTGATTATGCTTAATTATGATGTCTTATCATAGTCTTATTATCTTATCTTATCTTTCTTACTGATGGGTCCGAGTGCTCGCGTACCACTTGCGCACAATCATCAGAACGTAAGGGTTTGCAAGGTCCCCCACGACACCGTGATTATAACTTGAATGCCTCCCTTCAGTCGGAGGACATTATTGTTATTTTCTTTTTCTCTCTTGTGGAGCTTGAGTTACCTCCCTTGTGGAGGCTGGGACGGCACTCAACTGATATTATGCTTATAAGTTCCTCTTAACTTATTAAGGTGTATGCAATATGACATAGCAGAGCATACTATAACATGGAATGTACTCAAACACATATAATTCATGTGTGCTGCTTATGTGTATGCAGCATGACATAACATCGCATACAATACTTAAAGCATAAACATGCATATATAACATGTGTAACTTTTTCTTTAAAATCTATTCATACTGTAGGCGAGATTCCTACTTGCCTGATTTACAGAGCTAGAATCCACTTTTCACCAAACAGCCTATTCTCTTACTTGCTTACTTTTGAAAATGAACACCCATTGAGAGTGTGAGATTATCTGTCGTTTACTATTCTATTTTAGCAGCTTATGAAGAAAATCTAGCCCTTTACTTAAGGCATGTATTCCTTTCCTTTATTGAAGGATAATTTACTATAAGGATCAATTTAAATTCAAATTCATCCTTTATCCTGCTGTCTAATTTTAATTCAAATTCAAATTCCCATTTAAAGTCAAACTTCAAACTAATTTGAATTCTAATTAGGTAATTTGTCTAAAAAGTAAACTGGATAATATGGAGAGTAAGCAAATGAATCACAGAGAGACTCTCTTATTGTTGGGCGTGCGCAATATGTGGTCCCACCACATGTGTATTCAAAAATTACATATTAAATAATCACATTATTTAATATCTACTTAATTATTTTTTAGTGATATTAATTCCCAATAATTCATCTTGTCTTGTAAATATTACAAGGATGATGTGGGGACTTATAGACCTATAATTTTGAGCTTCAATAAAACTAATAATGAATTAAACTCTTTGTCTAATTACTTAATTCTATTAATCCCAAAAGTTACGCCACTATAAACTTGAAATTGCACTATCGAAACTGTATACATAATTTACTTCCAAGAAATTGAAGTGTCCATTTAATATAGTTACTACATGTATATTGATCCTCTATAAATAATTCATAATTAGAGCTACATGAAATATGTTAACCTCTCTAATTTCCTCTTTGATTACGCCCAAACGTGTCGAAAACAAAGCGGTCACAGTAGCATAATTAGGACGGTCGTATCCACAAAGAGGAGACAAATTAAACAAGAAACGTTTAGCAAATAAAAAGCGTTAGGTGATAAATAATAAAATAAAACTAAATGAGAATGAGATTTTCTTGTTGGGAAACTAAAGCGTAAGAAAAATATATGAGAAAACTATATAATTAAAAATTGGTAAGGCGTTAAGAATCCCCTATACGCTTTGTTCACCCGTTTGGATTTTGATTTTTGAGATTAATCAATTGAAAGTTTCACATCCCAAACTATCAATTAGAAAATAAGAGTTGAAGAACTTGTGAATAAAAATGTATTCGAGTAAATAAAATTCTAACATTAAGAACTAAGAAAATTTTTTTTATGAGAAATCTAAAAGTGACAACATAACTCGGGATGGTATTGCAGTAAAAGACTACTCATAAAATAATGCCTACCATTATATTGTATCATGCAACAATAACATAAAAAAAGCTTGACTAGATATATATAAAAGTTATTAATAAAATATATTGATATGAGGAAGAAATGTGATTAAAGAAAATTATTTACTCAATGTATAAAACTTTCAAAGCATTAGAGAATCAAAACCCAAACAAGCTCACTACACTTATAGGATCATCTCTAAGCTCACCTAAATATTCTAGCCTAGCTTGCAAAGCATTCTCATAAAATTCTAAAGAGAAAATATGAGAATAAAAGTACGATAAAAATGAGAGAAAAAGTATCTAAACTTAGGTTAAAATTCAACAACCAATAACCTTGGTAAAGCCCCTATTTATAGAGTTTTTTTGGTGCTTGTTTACACAAAATACTCAGCCGCAAAAATTAAAAAAAAAAGAAGAAAATGTTTCCAATTAATTGGAATTTACAAAGAATTAATTTGGATTATAAAAGCTCATTACATAAGAGAAAACAACAGCCACGAACGTTCTTTAGCTGAGAAAGGAAGTTGGAAGTAGAGATGCAACAATGGGCCGGGGTCCGTGGGCCAGCCTAGGCCCATCTTGACACAGTGACGGGTCGGACCGACACGGCCCGTCACTGTTAAAGGCACGGCCCATTACTGTTCAAGGCACGGCCCATCACTATTCAAGGCACGGCCCAGCCCATAAATATTGGTAGGCTGGGCTGGGCCAACATATATCGGCCTATGGGCCAAGCCGGGCTGGGCCAGCCCGTCTAGGCCCATGATGGGCCGGCCCAGTCTGGCCCGTCTAGGCCCATAATGGGCCGGCCCAGCCCAGCCCATCTAGGCCCATAATATGTTCGTGTTTTTTTTTTCTTTTTTTTAAGTAATTTTGTAAACATCTTATGTATAATTATCCTGATTGTACTCTTTTTTCCTTACTAAGGTTTTGTGCCACTGAATTTTCCTTAGAAAGGTTTTTATTTAACGAGGTAATCGTAAGTAAAATGTCATTTTTCATATTTTCATTGACTATTCAAACTTATATATTTGTTAACTTGTTTAAAAATTTAAAAATTAAAAATTAAAAATTGCATGCTTAGATGGGCTGGCCGATCTGAACTCATAATGGGCCAAGATAGATCTTGAGTGGGCAAGCCCATTCAAGACCCATGGCACGGCCCATTCTAACCCGTGGCACGGCCCAACCTGACCCACGTAAAATTAGCCCGTGGTGTGGGCTGGGCCGATGTCATTCTTATACAGGCCGGCCCGGCCCACGT